AAAAGTGTTATTATTAGCAATAATTTCAAATGATTAATTTTATTAATTTTTTGATTTTTTAATTAGTTGCACAAGATGGACTCCGAAAGGAACGAGCTTTTATGAAGCACCTATCTTGCAAATATTGGGGCCCAAACCAACTAATTTTTGTTGACAAAGCTGCTAAAGATAATTGTAGCTTAAATAGGTGTATAGCTATGCGCTTATAAATGTTCATGCACGCAAGAAGACCGTTTTCATTCGTGGAAAAAGGTATACAATCTTACCTGCTCTTTTGTTAGATGGTCTCTTGGCAGTAGATATTATGGAAGGTAGTTGTGATTCAGAACGGTTCTGTGAATTTATTTTATCATAATTAGTAAGTTAAATATTATTATTACTGTACTATCTAAATTATAAGGATTCTGGTGATAAATGATTATGTGATTAAATTAATAAACATTAAATTATTATACATTATTATTAACATATATATTTAATAATATGTAGATTCCTGTGATGAATCTTTTTCCGGGAAGAAATAGTGTTATCATTCTTGATAATGCGAAGATTCATCAGAATCAAGATTTCATTAAAACAGTAGAAGAACTTGGGTGCCGTATTATATTCCTACCTCCCTATTCTCCAGATTTTAATCCCATAGAAACAGCTTTTAGTACTATTAAAAGCTGGATTCAGAAGAATAGGGATTTTATGAATACTGCCACAGACCCATTTCATGCACTCATGATAGCATGCGCGCAAATTACACCCGATATGGCAACAAACTTTTTTCATAGATCAGGTTATTTAGAGTATTCACAGGATTAATTTATATTAGCTAATTTCTATTCATTCTCATCAGAATTAACCCGACTATAAATTAAGATTATTACCTAATATACAAGCTAAAGCCCAATTATTAAAAATAAGGTCTTTCGCATAATCTAATAATATTGATAACAAATAAGATTTACTGCCAGTAATACAACCTCAAAAAAAAGGAAATTCGATCTTGCATAAAAAGGGAAAGCCTGTAAATCATTTTCCCTTTTCGTCACTAATTTTACTTTCGTGTCCAGAATTTATTGTTATACTCCAAATTTATTGGCTGTTTCCTTTTTAGGAGTTTGTGTTACTGGTACAAATGAATGCAGACGTTAAATATATAAAATTAAATTGGATAAATTTATTTATGATATATACTTTATAGTATGTAATATAACTCTATCATATTCTATATTAAAGCAGTAAAGATATATATATACTACGTAATATATATCTTATTAATATTTCTTTGTGGCTTGTTTAATATTTATTAGCCATCCAAGTTTTGTAACCCCCAATTCTCTTAGGGATTCATCATTTAAATCTTTAATAGCATTCACAGTTAACTTCTCTCTTGCGAATGCCGCTT